CCGGCGGGGCGGCCCCACCGCCGCCCGCTTAAAGGGGCGGCCGGCAGCGCCCGCCCCGCGCGTCTCCGCCGGCAGGGACCGTCCAGCCCCGCGGTTCCCCCGCTCCGTCTCGGAGCCCAGCGGTGTCTGAGCGCACGGTGCTGTCCCTCGCGGGGAGGTGGTTGGAGGGGTCCGGGCTTGCCCCGCTTGCCTGTGCGTGCGCTCCGTCACCACTTCTTGTTTCTTCACCCCGCTCGTGTCCTATCACAGCGGCCCCCAAGGTGGCTCCGGCTTGGCTACCAATAACCAAAACCCTAAAGGGTCCAGGCAATGAGCGGGAAGAGGTCTGTCTTGGCTTTTGGCGTGGTCAGATCAGCAGAACTGCCTTGCCCAGGACTACCCGCATGCCTGCATAGAGAGACTACTTGCAAGAGCATGTAGTGACAGGAAAAGGGGGGATAGCTTCAAGCTGACAGAGAGTAGGCTGAGATTAGATATTAGGAAGAAAATCTTGACTGTGAGGGCAGTGAGGCCCTGGCACAGGTTGCCCAGAGAAGTTGTAAATGGAAGTGTTGAAGGCCGGGTTAGATGGCTTGGAGTAACCTGGTTTAGTGGAAGGTGTCCCTGCCCATGGCAGAGGGATTGGAATTAGATAATCTTTAAGGTCCCTTCCAGCTCAAACCATCCTATGGTTCTACCCCTGGGAGCCAGGAGCTAAGCCACCACATCCACCTCTCCTCCCAGGCAGCTCACCCCTCCTGCCATGCTCCGTGCCCAGCTCTGTCCTTGGGCCAGCAAAGGAGACAAGGCAGTGACCAGGCACTTCTCTACATCAGCACTACCCCTGGCCCCCGTCTTCCCAGTGGCTCCTCAACACGTGGCATAACCACAGCTCTCTTCCCTGTTGGGCTTTTAATTACATTATAAAGTTACTCAAGGCTTACACTGGCAGGTCATTAGTTTTCATATGAATTTAATTTAATCATAAACAACTCATCCCACTCCTTAGCGGCTCCTTAAATGTGGCTCTTTTTAAACACTATTAACTTTGCTACAACCACCCTAGAGAATTAACGGAGGTGCAGGCAGGTTGCCAGTGCTTTATTGCCCCTCCCAAAGGGCTCATCTTCATCCTGCTCCCCCTCAGCAAAGCCCAAGCCCACAGTGCCCCTGCAGGGCTGGCTGCAGGAAGGTTGCTAGGCTGTCTGAAGGGCACATCATGCCACTGATGACCTCCCTGGTGCTTCCGGGGCTGGTTTACATGTGGACCAGCTGCACATTGCTCCCATCCCTGTCCCAGTCATCACTCCTCAGTCAGACATGTGTTGAAGGTAGGCAGGCAGGAGGCCACGGATAGGACCTGTAGACTCCTCCCTTCCTTCTCCCCTCAGGAAAGCTCTGACATTCAGAAGGGGTGCTGAGGCTAATCAACAGCCTGGAATAGCGCCAACAGGCAGCAGAACTGCAGCTTCTGATGTTGTGTGGACTGCCCAGGCTGGAGCAGAGAGAGTTATGCTGGTTTTAAAAGCCCTGAAAAATGCAGAGGTCCTCCAAAGGATGGTGAGGAAAACATCCAAAGTAGCTATGTCTGAGGCTGGTAAGAGAAGGAGTGCACACTGAGATGTGGAACATCAGAGAAAGCAGATTGAGAAAGGAATGAAACAGTTACTGGTCTTCACATGCTGAAAGGATAAATTAAGTCACAGAAGCACTTAAGCATCTGCATGGCCTTTCCCAGCACTGTGACCTGCTGAAGGGACTCTGTTGCTCCTGGGCCCCAACAGCACCAGGCAGTGGCTGCAGCCTGACAGCTAATGAGCACTCAGGAACAGGCAGAGACAGTCACAGCTAATGCTGCAAAATGGCTCCTGTGTTTAATTAACAAGTCTGATGAGAGCTGTTGAGATGAGTGCAGAGTGGCTTTGCATGCTGACCAGATCACCTCACGAGGGAGGCACGCTGGGAAGCAACTGTGGAGATGCTTGGGCTCTGGTGTGCCTCGATAATTTGTCAAGGAAACTGCCAAGCGTTTGCTAAGGGAGCCCAAATGAGGGGCTTGTGAGTGACCTGGGAGTGTCATGCTCGGCCCACACCTCTGGTGATATGGCTTCAGGAGCAGCAGAGGTCTGGCAGCAGCATGTCCCACAATAAAGTTGGGTGGTACAGATGCAACTGAGTGGAGTTTTAGGAGAAAGAAGTTGCCTCTTGCTGCCTAACCAGAGGCTGAAGTGTTGTTAAGCCAAATAAAATAACTGTACAGGAGAACTCACCACCTACTCAAGGGTCAAGCATGTGCACTCTCCCTTCTCTCTGGCAGGATCAGCTGAGCAATGTAAAGCAAGAGGGCAAATGACTTCTGAAGAGCCAGCCATCAGCTCAGATGTGCAAATGGGTTTCTGCATGGCTCTAAGCAGACTCCAGCTGTTTGGACACAGCTGCGTGGTCCCTGACATTTCCTTGGTGTCAGAGATGGAATAGAATGAGAAAGCAGTGCCCCATTGTCAGCCCCAAATTGCAGAGGAAATGCTATTTGCAGTCATCCTGGCATGGAGAGCCCACTACCGCTGCTTGCTTTTCAAATTAAAAATTAGGAGTGTGTGCCAGGTGGTTAAATGGTCCTGGTCCTCCCTGTGTACAGAACAAATGCATCCATCTTCCCTGAGCTTCCTCACAAATATTAGTCAAAAATTATGCTCCTACTCCAACAGAGGGCAAATCTCTGCAGCTAAAGCCCAGCAGAGCAGTGGTTTCCCACCATTTCACTGGGGCTGGATCTCACTGATTCTTAGCTGTCACCAGGAACAATTTTCCACTGCTGTGACCCCTCTATTGCAGGTTTTAGGTGCGTGGTGTGGATGCCATCCATCGCAGCAGGTTGTACCCATCCTGCACAGGGGTATGGCAGCAGGGAGAAGCAGACCCCATGGAGGGGATGTTCAGCCCTCAAATGAGAAGGCTTTCCTGGCACACAGTGGGCAGGGGAAACCTGGATAACTCCTAAGGCTAATGCTGGAGCAGGAGACAAAGTACTGAAGCCCTGCTGAGAAGCAGAGATCTGGTGAAAGAGATGCCATAGAGAGCGACAAATCCAGGGAAAAGAGCGAGCGATCTTTTTGGTGCAACGGGACAGCTCAGCTCCGGCACTTCAGTGTCATGCCACCTAGTGAGCAAGAGAAAGAGCAGCAAACATCTCCCCTCCATCCCCTGCAAGTCTGGAAATCAAGTCCAGGGGAGTCCTAGGTGGGGTGGCAGGGCAACATGCCCCTGGCACCCAGCCCCATCCCACCCAGGAGAGGAGCAACGACAAACCCCATCAGCAAGGCAGAGCCACAGCCTCTGGAGAGGCTGGGCTTCCTCGAGCCCTGGGGAGTTTGGCATTTGGAGAATTAAACCAGTGGCCAGTGCAGCAGGAGAACACTCAACAGCATTTGGTTTAACAGGGTGCAGGTGACTTTTGCAGGACGTGCCTATGGCACTGCTCACCTCCAGCTGCCCTACTGCAGCGCTGGAGGGAGCCCATATGCAGTCACAGGAGGAAGGGAGTTAGGTACAAGCTCCTGCTCCATGACTCTCCCTGCCTGCCCTGATTTTCCTCTCCCCAGGGAGTTTTATCATCCCAATCACAGCACGAATGCTGCAAAAGCCCTTGGGCAGCTCAGAGGAGTCTGGAGCCCAGATGTGACAGGATATAACCCCAGGGAATGCTACACCTGCTGCAGCACCAGTAAGTTTTCAGGGCTGTCATCTCTATTTTTAAAAAATAAGAAATATTTTTATTTTTGTTCTGTTTTCAGCATTGCACCAGGACAGATTGGTAGCTAACAGTTATTTCTGGAATACATGGTACTTATAAATATATGTTGAATCCTCATGGTTGAAGCTCCCCTCAGGCACTGCCAAGGACATGCAGATGAAGTTAAATATTCCCATGAGATCCTCTGCTTCACTGGGATACACTGAGTGAGGCCAGCGTGTCCCAGGAGACAGTGCAGTCCTGGTACACATAAACAAAGATGACTAATTATGTGTCCTCAGCTACTCCATTTCTTACAATCTTGTGAAGCAAGGAGACAGGCACCCTCGGGCTTTGCTTGTCCTCTCACCACAGTGCTGCCTATTTAAAACCCCACCACTAACAACTTACAGTACCAACTCCATCTCCTTTTCAGCATCTCACCTGAATTCACATCCTGCAGTTTTACCTACCATGGTGGACACTGGGAGCAGGGTCATTTCCTGCATGAAATCCAAGGTAAAAGTTGGCAGACTCTGGAGCAACCTTCCAAAAGTGAGGGGAAACCCATGCCAGCTCCATGGGCTCATGTAAAATCTGCCCTTGCACACTGTGTGTCCTTGAAAGAAATCATAATTGAACTGGCAGGTAAAAATCTCTGAGCAGAGAACAAAGGCCACACAGGCCCTGTGGTTGGTTACACAGGTGGTGGGAGCTTTTCTGAACAACCTGAGGGAGGAGGCAGAGGTCTGCCCCTGTGCTGACAGGAGAAGACATGCTTTGCATCCCGGTCCTATAATGCTTCCCAAGCACTCCCCAGCAGAGGTCAACGTGGGAAGAGACAAAGAGGCATCCCTGAGACGTCCTTGTCCCACCAAAGCAAGGGAGCTGAGGCACTTGTCTGAAATCTCTTCCTAAAGCCAGGCAAGCTAATTAAATAGGAAGAAAAATCCATGCCTAAGTGGTTTGCACTCAGACAACAGGATGCAATACCCGCTCTTCACCAAGCAGGGTCAGCCCAGCACCATCTTAACACCAAACGAGGGAATCGCTGCTTCAATTCAGCTTCACCAGTTTCAGCCTCATCGCAAACATGTTCCTGCCCTGGAGCTGCAGCACCCAGCAGGAGAGTCTCTAGAGCGATTTCAAAGAACTGGAAGTTCAGCCTTGCAAGGTTCAAATGCCAGAAGTGGCTCTGGAGGTTTCTGTAAATCAGCAAACCCCAGACCAGAAGCAAAGCTGGTCTGAGGCCACAGCCAGTGATCACACACAAAATCAGACACATGCCCAGGTTTCTCAGTCTGTTACTTTATTAGAGGGGTCTTTACATCATAGTGGTGGCCCCACTGGAGTCACTTTACAAAATATTAAAAAAACCCTTTTTATTCAAAGCCATATTTTTTAAAATGGTATCCGATCCCCTCTCAAAGGTAAGCTGGGTTTAATTGTGGTTCCTTCTGAACAGGAAACAACAAAAATATCCTCTTTTGAAAGGAGTGAAAATATAACCACCCTGTAAACAAGACAATCAGATGATGTGCTCCCCTGCCCCTTTTTGGAAAATGGTATTAGAGCCCTGGCACACTCAGAGAGGAAACAGAGAATAGGGAAAAGGCAGCAGACAGAACCATTCCTACCCTCTGTTAGCAAAACTGTGTTGTTTGCTCTAGGCTGCAAACAAGCTGGACTGGAGAAAGGGACAACCGATTTACCATGGAGGGCATTGCATCAGCTCTTTAAGAGCCCCCAGAAATAGTCTTTGCTCATGGCTGCAAAATATCCAGAGAGAGTTGATGCTTCCTGGGCTGGTGGAGAAGGCAGTCAGAGGCAGCAATGCCCTTCAGTGTGACCAGCGTGCTGCAGGACATCCTTCTGCAAGTCACATGTAAGACATGAAGGACAGGCACCAGGTACTGGTTTCTGTGACACCAACCATTTCATAGAACAGCTCAGCCTGACCCCTGCAGGACCAGGAACAAAACCAATGGGGCTGCTGTAACACATTTCTAATGCAATTAAAAGGCTCAAACCAGCCCATTGTCCTGGTCCAGGAACATCCCTCATTCATTAATCTTACAACAGCTCCCAACCTGGCACTATCACATCTGAAAGGCACAGTCCATGCTTTTGGAGATGGGGCAGGCAGCCTGCCTGTGTTTAACAGAGACATTGTTGGTGTGGATTCAGAAGTAACCTGGAATGGCCCAAATAGATGTAAGTCTTGCTAGTTTGCAGGAAGCTTATAAATATGTATTAGGAACTCTAAATGGGTATGAAATGCACACCTCAGATACAGAGTTAAAGACCTGGGGGCTGACTCCTTCAGCTCGGTACCTACAAGTGTGGCACATCACGTATCACCTTTCCCTGAAATGCCAGTATGTCTCTACATCAATATTTGAGACTTTCAAATAACCACCTTTTTTTTTTTAACTTTTTTAAGCAGAAACATTTTTTTATTGCTAGGGAAGCAGGTTTAAAACAAACAGTGCTGTCCAGAGATGAACAGAGAGAAAAACTTAAGTGCTACCTTATACCTTTGGATTGTGTAAAAAAGGTGCTGCCATTGAGGTCTCTGACCCCCTACCCAAGTCTGTGCTCTGAGTCCTACCCAGAAGCTCAGCCAAGCCCTCCCTGCCTGGTGCAGGTGGAGGAGACACATCACCACAAAGCAGAAAGGACAGAGGGCTGGACCTGCCACTGCTCTGCCACTCTGCAGCCTGAGTCCATGCTGAAAGCCAGGAGAACCATCCAAGAAACTGTGGCACATCATAAGGAGATGAGACATCAATGGACAAAGTGATGCTGAGAGTAACAAGCCACCATGACCTGCCTTCACATCTCCTCTTCCCATGTTTCATGACTCCTTTATTCCTTCCAAATGATGCTCTGCAGCCCATAACCCTGATGCAGAGTGGCCAGGCTGGCTGACCCACATGGCCCACACATACAGAGCACTTAAAAAAAAGTCTCAAGCACATGTGTGATCATGAGAGCTCTGGCAGTAACACTCTTCAGCCTCCCACTTGTCCTTACCAAAAGGCACATGACCATGACAGGCACTTCACTGTGTCATCACTGTTACAAACCTCCTCCTCTGCACATGCACATACACTTCTTTAAGGACAAAAACCTGCAGCCAGCTGAACAGTTTAATTACACCTTAATCCAGTCCCTGAAAAGACAGTGCTAGCTGGGTGCCAGAGGGTCTGCGGTGCCAGTGATCGTGACAAAGGAAGAAGCAGAAGATGTTTGGGAGGACATCCAGCCAGTCCCCTTCCTGCATAGTCTATACAGACTATACAGAGAAAGAGGAAGCAAAAAAGCCCAACCCTCCTTACTCAAAGGCAAAAACCCCCATATCACTGTCTCTTCCTTGAGCAAAAAAGACCACAGTGGATAGAAATCAGTGTAAGGCAAGTGTTGGGGGCCTTCAAGGCCAAAGTTATCTTAAGACAATGCCAAAGCTGCTCTGGCCCAGGCGAGTCCTTACAGAGGACCAGCAGAAGGAGCAGCCACAGTGGAGAGAGAGGGTAACATCCCCTGCACAGAGGGCAGGAGCCATGGCCTGTTTCTCCTGTTCAGAGTGGTTGTTGCTTCAGTCTGAGCTGACCAGCCAGGTGAGCACCAGGCTCACGTGAGAGGCGACACATCCAGCTCACAGTGCAAGTACAATCCAGAAAGGGTCCTGCCCCACTTCCCAGCCTGGAGCCATGCTGAGCAGGCCAGCTCCTGGGGAAGCCACCACAACTTCCAGTCAGCATCCCACAGTTCAGGGGTCACATTTATCCCAGACAGAGCGAGGGGACAGGAGGGTGCTGTTGTAAGAAGAGGCTGCCAAGAGGATCGTCCAAGTTGCCCACCTGCAGCCCAGGAGGACACAGCCAGTACCAGCTGGTGGCCTGCCAGCTGTGAGGTGTTATAAGCTCTCTGAGGAGCTGAAAGGGACGAACTTGGCGTGTTTGGTTGGGGATGCTGGCATCTGTCCATCTGCCTCCTCACTCAGCTTGAAGAACATCTCCTGCTCACGCTTCTTCTGGTTCAGCTCATCCTCCAGGGCCTTAAGCAAAAGAGAACACACACAAGAGCTGTGTTTGAGATTGTTCTGGAGCTATGGATACTGTCCCCTCCAACCAGCCAAGCAGGGCACACTTCTCTCACCAAGGAGGCATTACCTTCTTTCGTGGCCTCAGCTTGTCTCGCCACTCCTTCATGTGCTGGTTGTGGTTCTCATCCAGGGATTTCAGCTTCTGAGTTTCGTGCTCAATCAAGAGGTGACACTTTTCATTCTGAAAACAGATCACAAAACAGAGCACTCATCAAGCAGCCAGGACTGTAAATCCAGTGGTCAAACAGGATTCACCTCAGCCAGAGACAATCAGAGCTCTGAGCTCCAGGGCACATTTAGACATGGCCACAAAAACCTCTCAAGGCAAGAGCAAGGGGACATCAGGTCCCATTCACTGACAGTCCTCTGCAGGCACTTCTTAAGAGACTAAGAACTGCATGGGGAGCTCTGGGAGACAGACTCACAAGGGACATGTACCTGCAGGTGCTGGAGCTCATTCGTGTTGCTCTCGCACTGGGCCTGCATGTCCTTCATCTGTGACTCGTGTTTCTGCTGCTGGTGCAGCCGCTCTGCTTTTTGCCTCTTCTCTTCCTGCAGAGCAAACTAGAAGAGAGAAAAGCAGGTGCCCATTTGGAAGAGTTGCTCTGGTCTCTGAAGCTGCTTAAGAGACTGGCCAGCTCGCACTATTATATAGGAAGGAAGGAAAAGCCCTGAGGATGTTCCCAACACCAGTCATCACAGTGAAAGTAGTGCTGAAAACCACACCTGATGCCCCAAATGCAAAGACATCTGACGTCCTGAAGCAGGTGAGAAGTAGGAATAGTTGCATTTTTCCAACCTCCTTTCCACCAACAGGCCAGTGAAGTACTTCACCCTCAAGCCAACCTCAACCCTGGCGCCCTTTGCAAGACCTGACCTGTTTTATCTTCTCCCGCTGCTCGGATGCGCTCCCACTGGAGTGGATGTGAAGGCTCTTCTTGTACATGGCCATGCGTGTCTTCCCTTCGCTCCGCTGGATTTTGGGGAGCCGGGCTTTCTCCTGCTGCTGCCGAATTTTCAGCTGCTCTAACATGCGCTGGTTGTATCGCTGCATTTGTTCCCTTTCCTGCAGAGAGACAGGTATCAGAGGAGGGATATCTCGGGACATCTCAACAAGAAAGTGCTGAGGAGAAGAGAGAGAGCCAGAGAGTAGATCTGGGAGTAGCATGGGAGTGGTTGGTGACTGACAGCTCCACAAGAGGTGAGGGCAGCTACTGAACATGCTGTGAAAGCAGAGAAGAGTGCTGAAAAGGAACATGCCAGTCTTCACTCACTGCTCTGGGAATCAACCATGCCAAATACCAGACAGTGACAGATTTCCAGAAAAGCTCCCAAAATTCACAGCACGCAGCATTTTACGCACATTAAACGCACGCAGCACAGAATACATGTCCCAAGAAAGAAGGCTGACATGAGCATTATTCTGGTCCCTTTTCACTAATAATGACCAAGTCCCTTAACTCCTAACCCACCCTTACCCACTTACAGCCTCAAGGGAAACACCCAGGGACACCCAGATGCTTTGTTGACCCGCACCAGTGTAGGAAGGTGCTAAGTCTTCACCTTCTCATGCTTCCGGAGCAACTCATGCCTCTGGAGGAAATACTGGTCCTTTAGCTGCTGCTTGACAAGCTGGTGCTTCTCCTGTTGGTGACGCTCTTCAAGATCCCATATGCAAGCCTCCCGATCTGTGGAAAGGAGGAGGGTTAGGAGACAACCCACCCTGGTTCCTCAGCTTGGTCACACAAAGCATCCCAAGCTCAAGAGATCCCTACACACATGAGCAGTGCAACAGATGTGGGGTGTGATCAATCACCTCCTGTTTTTCATGAGAAATTGGTTACGAACCATATTGGAGAGTAATTTCTTTCAATTATGAAGCCTAATTGGTTCATATTTTGAAGATTCAAGCACTAAGTATTATTATTGTTAAACATTTAGACAGGATCTGGCAAGGCTGTTTTTTTCTAAATCCCATCCTGCCAGCTTGCAACTCTGTCACAGCATCTGCTGCGTGGGAAGAGCCAGCGTTGGATAAACCCATGGTTACAGCATTCCCTTTCCTCCTTTACAGCCTTTGCCACCCACCTCTCATGAGCTGCTGCTTTTTGTTCAGGCACTCGCGTTCCTTGTCGCAGATCTCCCTTTTGTTCTGGGCAGTTATATTTTTCATGGCTTGCTCCAGGTCCTCCTTCTGCTTGGCCAAGAACTCCTGTTCCTGGAAGAAACCAGCGGTACCACCATGAGCCCTCCGTCTGCTGCAACTTGAAAAGCATCTGGTGGTGTTTTAGAAGCTGCCAGTCCCCCAGGGAGGAAGGATGCTTCTGCCTACTATGCACTTCCCAGTCTTGGAGTTGTGGCAACCTTCTCTCAGCCTTACCATGGTTTGTTTTTTCTGGGTGAAGTCATCCATCTTCGCCTTCATGTTTCCTTTGCGCTGTTGCCGTGGCAGCTTCTCAACCTCGTTCTTGACCTTTGGAGAGGGAAATGAGATTTATCTGCAAGTAATTCTAGGCTAAGAACAACCCCACCTAAAATACCAACAACTGTTTCCCTCTCAAGCTGTGCCATGGAGAAATACTGAAGCTTTCCTGGAAGAAAGAAATGCAGGAAACCAGCTTTCCTCCCTCCTATCCCTATTTTTACCTCCTTCTTCATCTGCTTCAGCTGCTCCAGAAATTTGACATGGTCCCGCTCCTGCTCCAGGCGAATGCGCTTGGCCTCCTCCCGCCGGCGCAGGGAGTGATCTTGTTCCATCTTCTCAATCTGCTGCTTCTGCTGCCGTTCCAGGTTTTCCAGTTCCGTGTCGTAGAACTTCTTCTTTGCCTATATGGGAAGGGAACAAAGGAAACAGAGGTCAACTTCAGCCTCCTCTCCACTTTGTTTCCTTCCAAAAGTTAAAAAAGAAAGTGAAAAGAAAAAAAGAAAGGAGTGGGGGATTGTCCTCACATGGATTGAGCCATTGAGCCTCTTTACTAAACAGAGAGGAGGGAAATTTCTAGCTAACACCCCACAAAGCACACAGGGCAGACAGCTCTAGCATCAGCACTTTAACTGATTTTTGAACTTGTTCTGGCACTGATGCACTTCAAGCCTTTCTCCTACTTATGTCCTGATTTATAATATCCCACTGGGACCCAAGGTCCTGGGCAAATATTGGCTCAAGCAGAACAGCTCTTTCTCTGCAGGCAAGGATTTCCAAGTTTGAGGCTCTGTGCTCCAACAGTGTCCTTGTGTCCGATCTCTCCCTGCCTGCAGCTCACAGGGATGGACCACCCAGGAGTCAACAAGAGCAGGTTGCCCCAGGGAAAGAGTAAAGGAACCAGGTTTGGGGGTGTTGCACAGCACATTGCATGGTGAATAAATCCCACAAATGAAAAGGGACTTGCCAAGATGGGCATTCACAGGTATGGCACATCAAGACTGTAGAAATACAACAGAGCCTAGGAATAAGCGAGGGCTCCCAGCCTTCCGTGAGGGGATGGGGCTTCCAGGAGCACACGCAGGGTGGATTAACAAAGGGGTATTTAAAGCTTTCCTGAGCCATCTTTTAAAGGGGCTCCCCTGCAAGTGGGGAAATTTAGGTTAGATATATGGAAGAAATTCTTCCCTGTGAGGGTGGGGAGGCCCTGGCACAGGTTGCCTGGAGAAGCTGTGGCTGCCCCATCCCTGGAGGTGTTCAAGGCCAGGTTGGATGGATTTTGCAGCAACCTGGTGTAGTGGAAGGTGTCCCTGCCCATGGCAGGGGGGTTGGAATGAGATGATCTTGAAGGTCCCTTCCAACCCAAACTATTCTGTGTACTTCAACAGAAGCTGGCCATGGAGGGACTAAGTCTGTGAGCCCAGTTTATTCAATTTACACTCATAGGCCTGCCAGATTTCCTGCTGTCACATGTTGGCCATGTTGCTTTCTCATTTAAAGGATTTTTTTCCTGTGGAATACAACAGGACTATAAACTGTTTCTTACAGCAGCCATGAACAGGCATACAAGAAAAGGTCAATAAAGAGGGGAAGTCAGAACAATCCTCCCCCCTGCAACACCCTACCAGGCAAAGGCCGTCAGTGCTTCCCAAGCTGCAGAATGCTTGTGCTCAATGCCCACAAAAACCTCCATCCTCCACAGAGGCATCCCATGCCTCACATCCCAAAGGGGTTCCTTGACATTTCTGCTCCCTCTGGAGGTGATACCCCAAGGTTGTTGCGACCCAGAGAGCATCACCCTCTGTGGGGGTTTGCAGGGCACCTGCAGAGAAGTCAAACCAGCTTATTCCCAGGAGCTTCCCCTGCCCACGTACCATCATTTCTTGCTCGAAGCGCCGGAGCATCTGCTCCAGCTGCAGCTGGTGTTTGTTGTTGAGCTGGGCCTGGTTTCGGTGCTCCTCCTTCTGAAGGAGACGCAGCTCCCGCAGCTCCTGGCGCCTGCAGAGGGTTAAAATGGAGGGAGAGAGAAAAATACAGTCAGACAAGTGCAGAGGCATGTGGGTGAGCAGAGATGGCAGAATAAAAGGCCAGAGCACTTCAGCAGGGAATGGAATCAGCACAGCCATCCTGTAGGATCCTGCCATTTGCTTTGAGCACAGGCAGGAGGTAAATGCCACCTGACTGATATGCTCTCAGGCTCTGTGACACTGTGAGGAAGCAGGATGCTAATTATGGGAACTGCTGGGAAAAACATCAGCTTTCACAGGTAAGGCCTATTAGCATTCACAGCCTCTCAAACAAGCCCTGTCAAAGCTCCTAAGGTGATTCTGCAGTCACTGCTGCCCCAACCAGCACCCAAAATACCCATTCTGCCAGCTGGGTTAGGACTCCCTGATTTTCAAAACAAAGCTGAGGCCAAGCTGGTGCTGCTCTGGCCTGGCCCCTATGCTCTGCATCAGTTCTGGCTCACACCTGGGTGGCAGAAAGTGTGGTTTTCCCAATTTCTGACCTATCCATCATAACATTGCATCACTCCCCTCATCCAGCTTCACACTCAGTAAAAGCAGCCTCTGCTCGGAGGGTTGTGTTTGAGCCCATTTGCCATGTCTGTGCCTGACCCAGCTGGAAATCACTGACAGCAATGGAGCAGCAGCAGCAGTTCTCCCATGCAGGATCCCCATCATGACCTCCACTGCTGTGCATTAACCCCGCACACTGAGTACAACCCTCTCCAGGGGCCCTGCTGGGAAGAACACTTTGGCACCATTTCTTTCAAAACAAGACCGTGAAACAAGAAAAGGCCCTGGCACAGGTTGCCCAGAGAAGCTGTGGCTGCCCCATCCCTGGAAACGTTCAAGGCCAGGACAGTGCTTGGAGCAGCCTGGTGTGGTGGAAGGTGTCCCTGCCCATGGCAGGGGGTGGAACGAGATGAGCTTTAAGGTCCCTTCCAACCCAAACCATTCTGTGGTTCCATGATTCCATGAAAGCTGTACCTGGAAATTCCCTGTATGCTAGTACACATATTCCTCTTGTTTTATTGGGGTTACATGCACTTCTCACACAAAACTTAATTATGAGCTTCTGCATAGATCTGATATTGGGGCCTAGTAATAAGGCTGCCAGAGGGACACAAAGTGCTTGGGACAAATTATACTCTTGGGGAGTCCCTGAGAGCAGCACAACAGAGCCTAGAATAGGGCATCAAACAAAACAATTTGTATTTTAATTATTTTAAGGACCTTTTAATTTCAGTGCTAGAAACAGCAGTTCCTTTTTTTTAGAATAGGTCATGGAGGTTTGAAAGCTGCAAGATCTGCGAAAGAGTCATAAAGGCTTAAGCAGGGAGGATACACCCATGAATATTAAATGATGCTCGAGGAGTTTACAACTCCCTTGGCTTTTCAGTTAATGAAGTCTGAGGAGGTATATGAACAAAAGGAAGAGGAGCATCTTGAGAAGATTTCTGTGCTTATTTCCATTAAGCCAGGCATCTCCAGCCCTGGGAACACATTCAGTCATCCCCAAAGGACAGAGCCAGCCACAGCACAAGCTTCCCTTGTCACAGTCTTGCTGCATTCTTCCCTGCATGCAAACAGAGCTCAGCTTAGTGGTACAGCAAGCCCTGTGCCAGCCAAGGAAAAGCTAAAGGAAGTGATGTCCACACTGGACAGCTGTGCTGTCCAAGTGGAATGAAGATGGGAAATGAGAGCACTTTAGGTCATTCCTGGATTAGCTTGTAGAGAAGAAAACCCTACCCTGGCTCAGTGCCCTGCCCTGCCCTCCATCCCAGTGACCCACTTGCCTGAGAAATCTCATTTCTTCATCCTTCTTCTCATCCTCACTGATGATCTTCGAGGTGGTGACACTCACCTCTACTCCATCCACAACGAACTTGCGGGTGCGTTTCAGCGTCTTCTTGTTCATCCGGGAATCCTGAGTTTGGCAAGGAGGGGAAAGGAGGAGGCCATGAAGGAGCTCCCTGGCTTGTTGCATGGGGTGCAACAGCTGGAAGCCTCAGAGCAATTTTGATGCCATTTGTTCATGAAGAACACACACAAGGAAACCACACGGAGCACAAATCATCAGCCCATTTGGAGATTCAAGCTGCCACAGCCTTGCTACCATCTTGCAGAAACCTGACCTTGAAGAGACACAACCCAGCACCCAAAGACCCTTTCTCACCGTGTCCAGCTAAACCATGATCGAACATGATTCCCTCTTCAAGGCTTACTCCCTGTAAACCCCAAAAGACTCTTTTCCCCTTCTGTGGGACCAACTGGGGAGAACAATTCCATGTGTGGCATTGTATTCCTCTTTGGCTGGCCCCAAGGAGACCAGGTGTCCTGGGAAAGGGGTAAGTTGCTATGCAAGAGCATCACATTTCTGTCAGGTAACCACACTGATTGCAGGCTCCTGAGGGGGATGTTGGCTCTTGTGGTCACAGCAGGAGGCAGGAGGGGAGGAATGTTTTGCTGAGAGTGGTTTCCCAGCACGTTTCTGTGCCGGGAAGCCATCACTCATGCAGGCAATTTGATAAAGATCTTGTGCAACACATCACTCTGCCCCCTTAAGTCACAACATTTCTTCTCCTGAAGCTCAGCAAATACCATTCCAGTTATTTTTCCTCCTCCTCTAAGCCATGCTGACCTGGTCAGCTCTGTCTCACAAGCATTCCCAGCCTCCAGAAAGCTTTAGCAAAAGCCAAGAAGCCTGGGAGGTCTCTGTGCAAGTCACTGCTGACACAAACCAGGCCAGATGTATGGCAGGTTGGAAAAACTGAGAGAGGCACAAGCCCAAATGAACTTTCTCCTGGGGCCAGGTGTTCTAGGAAAGAGCAGCAGAGCGATGGCTATGGATAAAGTTCAGGGAATCACATTTGGGGTTTCACACTTGCATAGTCATACACAGTTAGGAGAGTGGCACGGTTATTTCACACTTCCCAGGGCCCTAAAATAGCTACAAAACATCAGACTTCCATTAGATTTCAGTGACCTAGGGCAGAAGAGGACACATAAACCTGCAGCAGCTCCACCAAGAGCTTCTCCTTCACTTGAAGACATGCCATGTCCCCATGGCACAGCTTCACCCAGCAGTATCTGCTGGCCTGAGCTCAGCTGGGACAGTGAATTCATAGACAGGGAAAACACACTGCTGAAGGCTTTTCTAGAGAAAGCCTTCCTCCCTCCTTGTTAGCCCTGTGTTCTCCAACACCCTCTGCCCACCACTCTCACCTTCAGGGAGATGGAGCCACTTTCCCTGTTGAGGGAGAGGTCAGCAGACAAGGAGATGGTGAGGTCCATGCTTTCAGAGGCTGAAGTGCTGCCAGAATCGGAGTCCCCTTTGGACCGGCTGCCGGGTAACGGAGCCGGGGGATCCAAACTCCCATTGGCGAGTTTCTCCTCTGTGAAGTTCTCCAGGTGGCTGCTCTCCGGTCGTTCCCCAATGCTCTTCCGCTCCTTGCTGCCTGCCCTGGGCTGCTTGTTCCCCTCCGTTGAGTTACCCAAATGTCCAGGCTGCAAGATGATGTCTGGCTTGTCCTGGGTGGCCGAGGTGGCAGAGCTGGCGGGTGTTTTTGTGGAGTGATTGCTCTCCAATTTGTCATTGTCACTGCTTGTCCCTTCATCTGAGACTTTATCGCTCTGCCCATCTGTGGTGTCCTTGCCAGTCCCCACAGACCCGTTCACTGCTTTGGGCAAGGAAGAGTCTGGAGGCTTCTCCCCATCAAAACTCAGCTGACTCGCCTCAGAGGGGTCCCGCTTGTGCTTACCGGGAGGCTGGAAAGACAGGGAAGGGAAGATGGGTTTGGCACCACACTTAACACAATTCCAAGGGCTCTAAGTCCCTACACTTCAGACCAAAGCCACCCGCAGCTAAAGAGTTATTGGGAGGAAATCTTCCCTTTTAGGACATCTGCCCTGAGATACTACTTTCTCCAGGTTTGTGGCCCCAAGGACTGTGGACACTGTCTGGAAGGAAAAAGCACGGTGAAAAAACTCCAGAATCTACATATTCTGAAGAAGCAGCCTAGGAGTTTGCGTATCAAGCACTTTTTCCCATGGCTAACTCCACCATGGACTAATCACTACCCTTTGCCGCAGCAGAGGGAGGTCGAGGCATGTCCCCCAGCAAGGCTACCCAGGCAGCCTTGGGATGTCCTCTTCAAAGAGGCCAGCTCAGGGGCAGATCTGTCCAGTTTCTCCAGCCTCTACCAGAGCCTATTTTTCTTTCTTTTTTTAAGCCCCTCCTGTGAGCGGGCACTGGGCCACCCGCCGGTATCATTGTTTCTCCATGCCCTTGGCAGCCACTGAAAAACAGCCCCTCCCTGGCCAAGCAACCATTTTGCCTCCACCTGATGGGGCTCAGAACAGCTGTAAACTCAGCCTCCTGAGCCCTTTCTCCCACCACAGCCACACCGGCAAACTTGCCAGCACGATGCCAGGAGCGCTCACCGAGGCAGACTCCGATGAGTCATCCTCTTCTGCTTCATCCCGACTCTCCTCAATCTCTTCCATCACCTCAGCCTTGGCCTCGGCCACCAGCTCGCGCAGGGCCCGGTTGCTGGTCACCTTGCTGACGAAGGGATGCTGAAAACCAAGCACAGTGCACACGTGTGAGGTGGGCAAAACCAGACCTTGTGAGCTCGTGGCCAAGTGACAGTCCTGGCAAGGACCACCTCTTGCTGTAAAACAACTGCAAACACCTGAGGATGTGGTTCTTTCCAGTGTCACCAGGCTTAACCCCCTAGACGAATTTACAGACAGGCATGAGGGAAAACAAGAGAGAACATGGTGCTGAGGTTAAACACACACTCTGCACACAGATGCTCAGAGCCTGGTGCTCCACAAAGCTGCTTTATGTCAACATCCCCCCCACAAAAGCACCAGCTGAATTTAAACAAGGGGACATTCCCCCTCCCCACACTGAGCATCCCAGCCCGCAGAATGCCAGCAGGAGCAGGGCAAGAGCCAGTCTGCAGGATCCCTGGGTGCAAACAGAGCCTGGGGGAAGGTTTAATTGAATTCAGGCTAGAATCACTCAGTGCACACAGCGGGGTGTTTGTGTCAAGCTTCAGCAAAAGGCTGTGGAGTCCCTCAGGTCTCTCAGGGACTCCAGCATGGATGGGAGTGTGCAGACAGTGCTGCAGGGTGAGAGAGCTGCAGTTAGCATGGAACAGCACCTTCCACGTTTTTTTGCTATTATTTTGAAAAGGGACAGGAGGAAAAGACAGGAGTTGAATTTAAATTTGGGATAATCAGGTATCATCCAAGCTGGCTGCCAGATGGATGTTTTTAGGCAACAGGAACCATTTCTATTCCAGCTGCTGTCCATAGGGGCTCTGCAGTTCACTCCAAGGGGAAAAACATTGCCGATCCTTTTTGGAGCATTTTAGTGGTTGAATAGTACTATGAACTTTCTAAACAAGACAAAAATCATCTGAAACCAGTCTGGGGCCACAGACCCAGCCCAGGGGCTGGTGCCAGTTCCTACCTCCAGCAGCTGGGCAGCACTGGGCCGGGTCTCTGGGTTCTTGTCCAGTGCCTTCTTCAGGAAGTCTCTAAACTCCAGGGACCTGAAAACACAGTTGTTGGTGAGAAGCTTAGGAGGGAGAAAGGCCTTGAATGCCACAGGGTTCTGCTTGATCCTTCTTCCAGACTATGCCCCAGCTTGCAGTTCTCCATGATTCCCTCTGCACTCCCACAGGAAACCCAATGCTCAGTTATTCTGATAATTTGTAAGTGAATCATCAAAGTGGCCAAGTGAGAGACTAGATTTTGCCTTACCTATGATGGCAACAGATGGTGGGGACTGAGCCCCAGCCACTGTTCCCCAGGGCCAAGGCAGAGGCAGGAGAGGACACTAGAAGGTACTCTCCAAAGGGAGCCCATGGCTGGAGCTGCTTGTGGACAAGGATGTTCCAGGAGTCACCCTCAGAGCCACACTGGGAAACGATGGCTGTGAAGGACCAGGAACCCCATAGGAGGGCACCCTCAGCCTGCAAAGCACAGCTCTGAGATCGAGAGCATGTCCCTGATCTGCTTCTGGCTTTGGAGCAGCTCCAGAGGAAGCATTCCCACCCTGCCTGCTGGACTTTAGCACTGGGGTCCTGCCTGCACTGCTGTGACAACGCTTGTGGCTCCAGTGCTATCTCAGTATTTTGCTACTGGCTATCACACAGTAGGTTTTATCATGATTTAAAAATAAATAAATAAATTAAAATTAACTGATTGGTTTACTTTTAAATGCAGAAGTCTCTTTCCAGACTCCAGGAAAGAAATTCTGGAGCTCTTAGCCATCTCCAAGTTTAGAGAAAAATCTGCCTTTCATACACATGGGAGGTTCTGAAAACAGCCAATGGATCACCCCTCACGTCAGGGGGGCCTGTGGGTGAGCAGCAGCTCCCCCTGTGCTGCCTGCATGCTGTCAGCACAGTCTGAGAGTCTGCCCTCAGCCAGCAGTGCCTTTGGAGCCCCTAACACACAGCTGGACCTAAAATTCAGCTGGAATTCTACATTGGGCTCTCAAATTAAACAAAACTGCTAGAAATGACTGGGTTTTTTTCTCTCTTTAAGTTGGGAAACCTGCACTCTGCTGGCCCGAACACCTCACCATTTGGAAGGGCAGCTGAGCGTGGGGGGGTCGGACTTGGCGATCTTCAGCAGGACTCTCATGGGGTTGAGCTCGTGGTGGGGCGGCTCAATCTGGGCCATTTCGATCAGTGTGATCCCCAGGGACCAGATGTCTGCCTTGTAGTCATATGGAGTATCCTTCATGGTCTCGCACATCACCACCTCTGGGGCCATCCTGCAAGGGGCAGAGCAAGGAGCAGGGATGGGGAGGGATGACACCACTGCCACACAATGTGAGCCTTGCAGCAGCAATTAAAGACTTTAAATAATCCACAGCATCGCATAAAAACAGCCTTTCCTCCTAGCTTCGTGTTTCAGAAGCAGCAGCATCTTTTCTAAGGGGTTCAACCCCCTCCCTCTTCCACAGACAGGGAGACAGCCCATGGAAACCCCCAGGCCATTGACATCTGGCGCGGATGTTGCTTCAGACAATAAATTAATCCTCACGATTCCATTCCCTCAGCAAGTCGGGTGATTTAGAGATTGTGTTTCTGGAGTGAGGAGTCGTTCCCATGTGCTTGGAGTCGCTCCAAAGCCCACCCCAGCCCCTGAGGAGGGGGAGCAGGGAGAGCACACACGCGAGCACACGTGTGTCCCTTTGCTCTGCCAAGCCTCGGCCGGCCCAGGGCACCGTGACACCACACAGTGCTCCCACACCACCGAGGCTGCTCACAGCTCCATGCAGGCAAGGAAAACCCTTGCACATGGAAATATAGCAGCCATGACTTGTAAAAATCCTCCCACCCATGGTAAGGCACCAACACATCCCAAAGGCCATGAGATCCCCACTTCTGGCAAGCCTGATTTTCAGAGAAGTGAAGCCCCTCACAGACTCAAGGTTCATAACAAGCAGGTCACTCACCAGTAAGGGGTCCCAATGAAAGAGTCTCGCTTCTGCAAGGTTTTCATGTTTTTGGCAGACACTCCAAAGTCAGCTGCAAAGAGCAGTAATATTAGAGGCTGTAGGAAAACTAGAAGACCCCTCCGAATTAGCACACTTGGCTGAAATGCAGATTGAAAAGCAAACATTTATTTGAGGCAAGAACACGATACAACATGCTGTGCCCTCTCAACTGAGCATCAGAAATCAAATTTGGTTTTGGGTACGTGAACCCCAAGACCTTCCTCTCCTATGTACCGTAAGACAGGGACATGACAAGCCAACCCTGCCAAACCTTACACATCCAGAAGGAAGTCAAGATCTTTTCTGCAAACAAAAGCAGATACTTTCAGAACTGCTATTTTCATAGCAAAAATTCTCATTTTACACCAGAAAACCCAAAGTACTGTTACATTCCTTCTTTCCCTTCAGCCCTGTGCACAGCAGCCACTGCATGATGCCTCTCCCTGATTTTGTCCCTTCTGTAGAGAGCTGCTGAAGCCAACCCAACCCAAATCAAATCAGGAAGACCCGTAAAAGGTACCGAGCCCACTCCAGGTGAGTTTGCCCTCTGAGACAGCCCTGATAACAGCTGGAGGAGCTGTTACCCACCTGCATCCTGAGCTCAGGGTGTCCCTGACTGTGGGTCACACTTGGCCCAAGCCAGCAGTGTTTCTACAGTGAAGTACATGGTCACAGGAAGGTTTCTCTATTCCCAGGTTGGCTGGTCTCCATCAGCACCCACAGACACATCCCAAGAACACCCAACAGCTGCTGGCACCCCTCAGGAGAATCCAGTGGAGATCTGCACCTTTCTGACCAGTTCATACAGACAAATCTACCTTCTCATCCCCCAGCAGGTTGTTGGATGCCAATTTAACTCAAACCCATAGTGAGTTGGCAAAGCAAGCCTTTGGCAAAACTCACCCTGTCACCACCAAACCTGCTCTGCAGATAAGAGGAATTCTTCCAGCTCCCAGCCCTGCCAACTGGCACCCTGCACAGGATGCTCAGCAGGCCAAAAAGCACAAAAATCAAGTTCAAAGAGAGATTAAAAAAATTCATGCAATAAAAAATCCATCAAGGAGGGCCTGAGCATGGCTGTGGCTTGGGGAGCCTCGGTACATTTTGCCTCCCGTGGAACAAAGTCTTGCCATCCTCCTGCCTGCACCTCTCAGCCAGCAGACAAGCAGTGATGTCCCATAGGCAGGACATCATCCCTCAATCCCCTCCCAGCTCCAGCAGCATGTGGGTGTCCTGGGTGCAGCACAGAATGGCCCCAGGCAGCAGCATCAGCCACAGTTGCTCTCTCAGGGGAGCCTGGCCAAGCAAGTGCCTGTTGGGCAGCTCACCAAGCTTGATGTCCCCATCCTGGGTGAGGAGCACATTCCCAGCCTTCAGGTCCCGGTGGATGATCTTTTTGCTGTGGAGGTAATGGAGGGCTTCCAACATCTGGCGGCAAATCACTTGGATCTGAGGCTCAGTCAGGCCCCGGTCCAGCTCTGTGGGGAGGGAGAGGGACGTTAAACAGGACAGGGAGAGAGTGATGCTCCACCTGAGCAGCAGCAAGGCATGGGTTACCCAGCAGACCATTGAAAAACCACTGTCCATGTGTCAGAGCAGCAGGAGATAATGCAAATCAGCTTGTTAAGGTAATTTATTCCCTAAGCCAGCACTTGCAGCAGAATGCCCGACTCTTGGAGCTGCTGGTTTATAGCTCCCTCCTGGGAATGTACAGCTGAGGCATTTGGCTCTGGAACAGAGGATAAGGGGGACAAAGAGGGGGAACCAGGCATGCCTGTGATGGAGGTCTGAACTGCAAGTTCCCTGACAGTTTGGGAAACAAGTCCCTGCACACAAGTTGGGTCTTGCCCAGCTGCTATAGAAAGGAGGGAGATGAACTTGGCTGCAGGCAGCAGGGTCAAACATAGGCATGAACACCCAGGAGCTCCATACAAAACCATGCTCTCATTCCCCAGGGAGCTATCCCTGCCATGGAGATGCACTCTACCTCCCTATACTCCATGAAGGACATGCCACTTCCCAAAGGGAAGGGTAATTTTGTCCCTACCCACTGCTCTGAGCTGATTTTTTGGGTAGCCCTGGGTACCAGTGCACCAGTTCATACCCTGCTGTCTGTCCCAGAGTTCAAGGAGAGTTTGGACAACACTCTCAGGCACATGGTGGGATTCTTGGGGCTGTCCTGTGCAGGGCCAGAAGTTGGATTTTGATGATCCTAGTGGGTTCCTTCCGACTCAGGATATTCTGTGATTCTCTGATTTTATTTCTGATGCTTGAAGGGACATGCAATCACTGGTGTGACCTCCCTGCTGAGCTCTGCTGGGCCACCTCCACCATCTGAGGCCGTTTTCCAAGGCGACAGCTCTGCAAACCATCAAACTTCCAGATGGTTAGCATCTCCTGAGCTTCCCTCCCTCCCTCTGCAAGCCCTTTGCACTGCAGATCCCTCCTCCAGCAGCTCTGAGCCCGAGGCAGAGCAGACTCAGCCTTAGACAGCACCAACTGCCAAACTGCATGGCCGGGATGGGGGCTGGGGGAGGGACCCCAGCAACTGCAACAGATTGAGAGTGAGGATCTCAGCCACAAGCTGGGGGATGCTGGGTCAGCCACTTTGTTCCTCCTCCTCCTCACCAAGATCTCCCTTCCTCTGGGGGAAGCTGATTATTTTCATTTTCCCTGGAGCATCTGGCAAAAGCAAGGTGCAGTGGGCCACAGGTTTTGTACAAAAGATTTAAATGGGAAAACAGCAGTTGCTGGTGGGGATGGGGAGATAGAACAGGCAGCGTTCAGCAACTCTGAATTTACTAATGCTGGGAACATTCCTAAGCTCCAACTCACAGCTCCTCCTGTCCCTCCCTTGGGGGTGACAGTGCTATAGCCAGCCCACTTGCTCATGGTTTCCTATGCTGCCCCTTCCCAGGTCCTCCACAGACTGACTGTCACAGTCACAGACCCATCAATGCTCAGGGGGATTTTCATGTCCCAAGAGATGGGTAAAAAAAACCCTGTTGAGGTTTTCCGTGGGGAAAGCATAATTTCTCCGGCACTTTAGAAAACGTACTTTTTCATGTAGTGATTTGGACCTGCTTTAAAGAAGTCCCCTAAAGGAGGGCCAAGGTTTAAGGGCTGAATCAAAGATGACAAATTTGCCTACTGGGGATAAATAGAAAGCAAGGCCTTTGGAAATATCAGGGCTGAAAGGGAGTAACCCCCAGGGAGACATGGGTCTGTCCCAGGGGCTCCAGGCAAGATGTCAGAGCATCCCATTCTCCATGCAAAGGGGATGTCAACCCCCTTGCCCTGGGGTCCATATAGCCCTGGCACAGGGGGGCTGTAGCACCAGCCAGGGCTGTTTTGGGGTACACCCACGCACTACTCATCCCAGCAGCTCCCTCTGTGTGGAAGGGAAGAGTTAAAAATGGGAAGATTCCTGGGATTACTGCAAACTGCAGTTTATTAGGTGCTCTGCTGCTTCACGAGATGACTGATACCATACGGAGAAGTCAGCAAAAAGATCTGGGGATATTCATCATGACAGACACCCAGATTAAACATCTCAGCCCTGCTGCCCTTCTCGGGAAGCTGTGGGAACAAGATCCCAAGCACCCAGTGCCCCCAGCAGATAAATATTTAAAATCATCTTTCCCCTCCAGCCAGACTCTTCCTTCTCCCCACGCCTCATGATCTGCTGATCCCAGCAGCATTTAAATCACAAAAGGACATTAAGGTAGCTCAAAAAATACCCCAGGGCTGCCACACCTTCTGCTCCGGGTACAAAAATAGGCAAACTCATGGGAGAGAAAGGGCAGGTGGAGGAGCTGGGGCACCCATGCCTGCCATCTGTCTGAAGGCTGCCCCTGGGAACGAGCCAGAAGGCTGGAAATGCCTTCAGGCATTGCCCTGGGCACAGAGTAGAGCCCGGCACCGGCGCTGCACTCACCCAGCATGGTGGCATCCACCGCCCCGCCCGGGCAGAACTCAATCATGATCTGGGGGAACAAAGAGAGAGGAGTTAAAAGTCAGGTCTGTGTCTCACTGATAAAAGCCACCGGGTAGAGAAGAGGAGACAAAACCATGTGATTTGCTTCCCTGCACGGCAAAGCTGCCCCTCAGCACCACCCGGGGGTGCAGAGGCTTTGGAGCTCCCCAGGACACATCCCTTGGGCACTCCCAGCACCAAGGATCACTCGAGCCCTGGGGTCAGAACACCCCCAGCAGCCCTGTACCTGGGTGCCCACCCCGAGCAGCAACCCCAAGCAGCCAACTTCAGTATTTCCAGCTTCCTCTCTGTTTACATCTCTTCCCGTTGCATTTTGGAGCCGGGGCTGCTCCACGCAGCCCTGCCAAAAGGATGAGATAGCTGTCATAGCTGGGAGCTGACGTGGCTGGGAGAAATCAGACAGGATTTTCTCTGGCAAATGAGGGATGGGGAGGGCTGTCGTGTCTTCAGGGTGTTTTTTTAACTATTTTTGTTTCCCCACACTGCTCAGTAGTTCATTGCTCCCTTGATTTTGAACCATTTGAGGGCAACCTCTGTCAATAAAGAGGGTGAGTACATTCACCAGAGTGATGCTGATTTTCTCCCAGGGACATGCACAGAGTCCTGCCAGTCCCACATACCTGTTTGCCTGGGCCCTGCCATCCCCTCCATATTGTCCCCTTCCCCCTCACCTCTGCACAGACTCAGCCAGAGCTGCCCCGGTGCTGGCCCCCATTCCCTGCTCCCCTTCGGGGCAGCCAGGGCTGCTCAGATAAACAGACTACAATTTCAAGCAGCCAGGGATTACAAGGGACAAGAGATGCTTCACCTCTCTGACAAGCTCTTCTCCTTGTCGAGGTGACACAGGGCAACATACCGGAGAGGTGAAATGCCAGAGTTTACTCCGAGGACAGCGCCTGAGCCAACCAAAGGCAGTTTGTTTACCAGCACAGTTCTCTAAGCCCTTCAAGTAGAGGTCATGCTACTCAACACAGCTCTAAGCACTGGAGCAGGAGCTGAGGGTAGAAGGTTCAAGCTCCCTCTTTCCCATGGCCTAATCCTGCAGCTCCAGCAAAGCCACATCCCAACCCTTCAGTCCTGCAGCTCCTACACATGGGCAAGGGGAAGGCTGTTATGGACCTGGACAACACTGGAAGACAACTGCTTTGTTTTGGAGAAGGAAGGGGAACAGAATCAGGTGCTGGGATGCAGGAAACCTGGAATTGCTCTGTAAGAATCAGTGCAGGTCCAAGAGTTGGGAGGAAGACAATGCTGAGATGATAAACCCAGGCTGGTGCAACACAGGCACCATTGGAGGAAGTGGAGAAGAATATACCAGAGGCCAGGGCTGATGAAGCATTTAAAACAGGCAGATGCAGAGGAGCAATTGGAAAGACATTTGAAGCATTCACAAACTTGGAGAACCAATATACACCTGACACAGATTCGAGCAGGAGCTTGGCAGAAAGGATGTCAGTGGGCCAGCAGAGCCCTCACACCAGTGGCCCATATAAACCCTTTTTTTCTCTTGCTTGAGTTACTACCTTGAATCAGAGAACCAGCAGCTTCACTAGCAAATGGAAAGGCAAGAATTGCCTCCTCTCATGGTCCCCCCAGGCAGAGAACTGCACTGGAGCCCTGTGTCCCATCATCACCCCAGCACAGGTCTATGAGGCTCATTTCAATCAATAGTTTTTATAATGTTCCTCATCACATTTATCCGAGCATACAAACACCACCAGTACACACCAGCCTTTCCTGGGCTCCTCAGAGCCCAAAGCACCAGAAAAAAACCTCAAACAAGTCTCACACTGGTGACAACCTGCCAGCTGGGAGGCCAAGGGCTTTCCCTTCCTTTGAGGGTGAGGGGATGTATGGGCCTCTGATGGCTCAGCCACCCCGCTGATGGAACCTCTGCACAATGATACCATGATCCCACCTGTGGGACATGTCCTCTGCCAAATCATCTGAGCTGCCACTAGCCCAGACCCGCCCAGAGTGAGTGATCTGTCCCCCCAGGCAGATGCTGGGCTGAGGTTTCCTACCAGGGTCACAGCTGGCACAGCTAAAATGTGCTCAGGTCAGACACATTGAGCTTTAAACGGGGAAAGGCCAAGAACAACACACGTGACTCTGGATCTGCGTGGGATGCATTTCACCTCACAAAACTTCATTGAGGTTCACAGTCTAGCAATGAGAAAATTAGGAGAATCAGCCCATCTGAACCAGCATGACCATGTATGTTTATGCAGGCACAGCAGGCTGCAACTCAGGCACTGGGAAGATGGGAAACATGGAAAACTTAAAAATATGCATTTTCAACAAGGGCAGAGATGCCAAAGAATAATCATGGGTGTGGTCAGATAGACAGAACAGCCAAAAAACTAATGAGCTTGTTTCAGCACAGAAAATACTATTTAAAAAAACTCAGCTGGCAATCCCATAGATCACACTCCACACATGCTTCCTTCCAGGAGCAGGGCCAACCTGGGAAACATTTTACCATTGAAGCAGGTAGAAAGGCAGGCCTGGTGGCAGCAGGACACTGCCATCTCTGTGTGTGAGCTGGGAGATGGAGGAAGCTCACAGAGGGCAGAGGCTGCGCAGGCACCATCCCCAGACTCACAGGAGGGAAAGGGACGGTGGGATAGTCTCTGACACCCTGGGGTGGGCAGTCTGTCACTGAGAAACAAGTTGGGAAGATCATTTAACTCTTTTCTTAGGGCTGTTTCCACATGTTTTGCTATATGGGCTGACTACTCCTTTACTGAGGTGTCCCCTAGCCCCTCTGGAGCAGTAACTGCTCTAGTGACAGTGCCAACTGCCCTTCACCCCCAACACTGCCCCAGGCTGCTCCCTGTGCTGTGCTCGGACACCTCGCCATCCCCCTGAGACCTGCAGAGCTGGGACCCTGCACGGGGCTCACTGAGGAGCCACAGCAGTGCTGCAAAACAGTGGTTTCACACATCTCGTCCCAAAAAAGCTCCTCTGGTCTAGTGAACCAGAGATATGAGACCCAAGGGGGGGCTCTGCCCCACTGCTGACATCCCAAAAGCTGCTCCTTCACAGTAATTAGTGCTGGGGGGAGCACCCACACCTCCTCTTCCTCCTTCTGCTTGGGGTCCAGCACCCCTCGGGAGGTCTACAGCGAGCAGGCTGGAATGGGGCTGGAGCAAACATCCTGTTTATAATGATTTCCTCCACACAAGAAATCCAGGGACTTCCTCGCCAAAGGCTGCCCAGCCCCTGTGCTGTGCCGGGCTGCTGGTGGGACATGCAGCAACAACAGGAGCTCTCCCTCCTGCTGCCACATCAAAACTCTTACAAATCCCAGGGATTACACACTATCAACATTTTAGTTTTCAGTCTGTAGGCAGTTACAACCACACCAAAATTCACTCCATCTCTGAGCTATCTGAGCGACATGACCAACTGACAGCTGCAGACACATAGACAGAGTCCCCAGCTCTGACACCACGGCCAAGGAACTCCACAGGGATGCTCTAGTGCACAGGAGCAGATTTGGGCAGCTGGTTTGTAGACAGAGAAAAGAACCTACTCTTACTACCTCTCAAAACCTTCGTGCCTTTTCTCCTATACCTTTAATGAAACGGTACGAATGAAGATGTCTGCATGCAGAAGCCACAAAATCTTTCCCTTTCAAGAAACTTTTGCAATAGGCAAAATTAAATTTAAACTTAAATTTGAAAGTCCACTCAAGTTAAAGGTTTTGCTGGTGACCTTGATTTTTCCCATGGCTCATTCTAATCCTGCCTTTAGGCACAGAAGGATCTGGGAACAAGTGCCCAAGTGGGAGCAGGGCATGGGAGGGGGACTTTCCTGGGCTGCTTAAGTAATAAGTGACTGCCTGGGAGGAGAGGAAGTGAAGTCCAGTGAGCCTGGAGTTGCCCAGGAGAATAAATGTACATACATATGTATGAAACAGCTATGGCTTAAATGAAGTGCTCTTAAAGACACAGGTCTTCAAGTTGTACCAGAGCAAGGGAGCACCACATGTTATGAAAAAGCATTATATGTCTTAACAGCTTAAGAGAGCAGATTGGGCACTGTGCCAGGAGAATCCTTCCAGCACTTTCACCTGAGGACCAGAGGGACACTAACCTAGACAATAAACCTAGGATGGATCAGAACCCAGTCCATTATCTGGGTCTGACAAACCAGGAGCAGCATTTCCTGCCCAGGTACCAAGGTCCTCCCAGGTGGGACCCAGACTCTACTTGCTCCTCCCACCCTGGGCAGGACTAGTCCTGCCTTTTGAGTGTGTTTGAACTCCTGGACCCTTCTATAACACTAAAAAAAAATACAAAAGGCTTATCTTGAAAGATAATTTTACCAAACACTGCACAGTCGCCAAGGGTGGAACAGCTGATGTCCCTGAACAGGGTTTGCAATTGAAACCCAATTAAGAGGAGAGGACGCACCCTTAGCCCGGCTCTTACTCACCCCATTGGCATGTCAGAGGGCAGGGGCCCATGAACCCTTCCCTCTGCAGTGCTGGAGAAATGCCTCTTCCAGTCAGAAAGGGAGAGGGGGGTGGAAAACAAAAGCCACCAGCTGGGAAAGCTGGGGGCAGCTCATCTCGGGGGTGGCAGCCCTGGGCAGCCAGGCATTTCCCACGGAGTGCAGGGAGGCCACCAGGTCCCCTTAGGACAGAGGAGCCCTTGGCTAGCAGCCCAGTTGCTCCCAAGTCACTGGAGGTGACGGGTGCCTGCAGGCTTTTCCTGTGACTTTGCTGCTTGTGCAGTTGCATGTTTAAGAACCCCATCACTTTGGGTTCACGGCGGTGCTCCAGAGCACCCAGCACTGTGTGTGCACAGTGTGCCAAGCACTGTAACCACCCACCCTTACCACCCAGCCCTGGGCATCGGGGCCCCCAGGATCCACCTGCCCCCAGATTCACCCCGCCTGGCCCAGAAACTGCTTTAAAACTGAAGTACTTCAGCAATTTCCTCTCCTAATCTGCAGCAGAGGGTTTCATTTTGTTTGTTG